AAATTTAAAAAATTTAATACCATGTTATATACTGTATAATTTATTAATAATTTTATTAAATTAATATTATATACTATACTATATACTATAATATATACTATATTATATAATAATACAATATTTTATATTACCAAAACCAAATTTTATCATTAAAAAAAAATTTTAAAAATTTAATATCATATTAAATTTATATGCTATATAATTTATTATTAGTCATATAGTGTATAATTTATTATTAATTTTATTAATGTAATATTATATACTATATGATATAATAATACAATATTTTATATTACCAAAACCAAATTTTATCATTAAAAAAAATTAAAATAAATTAAATATTATATACTATATAATTTATTATTAATAAAATTAATTTAATAATAAATATTATATTATGTGCTATATTATATAATAATGCAATATTTTATATTACCAGAACCAAATTTTATCATTAAAAAAAATAAAAAAAATATAATGTTATGTTATTACTATATAATGTTATGTTATTACTGTATAATTTATTATTAATAAAATTAATTTAATAATAAATATCATATTATATGCTATATTATATAATAATACAATATTTTATGTTACCAAATTTTATCATTAAAAACAAATAAAAAAAAAAGATTTATTATAGCCAAAAACCGCTGTGCGTTGACTATTTCCTAGATTCTTTCTGTAGCAACAGAAAATTTCCCAGAAACGCATAGAAATCCGCGGTCTGACGGTCACACGTCGGGTGTATTCACCCTGTGTTCAGAAATTCAGAAATTAACAGAGCGTACGATCCCTCTACGCCTAACTGTAAACCAAATCCTTTATTCCTTTTTCACAGATTTTTCAATCAGTACTATCGATCTTAATTGTTGGAATTATTGGAACATATATCATCGCCTCTATTTTCCATCGAGAAACGATCCTCAGACTTTTTTTAACTTCACGAATCGCGAATCACAGATGCGCAAAACGTGCTTTGTAACAAATTACGGGACAAGGAAATTATGTTCGGCTGTGTTCAACTCGCGTTCATGCCACCCGATACATTGTCAGCCTATTTCACGAACGTGTGTATACCGGTTTCGCACCTGTTCGCCTAACTTACCGGCGGCAGACGTTTCATTTACGACTTCGCCGCTGTGTTCCACAAAAATTACGAAACACCGTCGCCGGCATAATTACCGTTATCAGAGGGTTCATACACTTGTATATGGTTGCATTTTGTTGTATGGAAATTTGCGAAAGCAGCGTTCGAGATTGAAAAAGAAAAAGAAAAAGGAGCGTCGAGAGTTCGAAATTGAGTCGAAAAAATTATGCGTAAAAGTTAGACTACGGTGCAGTTTATTTATTTATTTATTTTTTTCACAGTCTATTTATTTAAAGTCTGTGATTTAACATTGTTACGCCTGTCAATTCTTATTTACTTAAATGACGCATTTTTGCATTTGCTTGCACATCGAAGTAGCTTGTAAAAAAGTGTTTTTTTATTAAATTTTATTAATTTGTTCAATTTTTTCCTAAATGAATAATTTTGTAAATAAATATTTTTTAGATAAATTATATATATTTATCTAAAAAATATTTATAAATATAATTTATATTTATTTACTTACAAAATTATTTATTTAATAAATTATATATATTTATCTAAAAAATATGTATAAATATTATATAATTTATATTTATTTATTTACAAAATTATTTATTTATCTAAAAAATATTTGTTTACAAAATTATTTATTTAAGAAAAAATTGAACAAATTAATAAATTTTAATAGAAAACACTTTACAAATTACTTCAATATACAAACAAATTATATTTATATTTATTTATATTTAGATAAATAAATTAATTTATATATATATAATATAACTTATTAAATAATTTTTAGATAAATAAATTAATTTATATATATATAATATAATTTATTAAATAATTTTTAGATAAATTAATTTATATATATATAATATAATTTATTAAATAATTTTTAGATAAATAAATTAATTTATATATATATATATATATATAATATAATTTATTAAATAATTTTTAGATAAATAAATTAATTTAAATATATATATATATATATATATATATATATATATATATATATAGGTTGATAAAAATTATTAATCCATTAAATATTAAGTTTCGTTCGGATCTTTCAATTTTACTAAAGAATATGTGACACTTGTTTTGAGGGGGGAAATATACCCATCAATGTCAATATGAAAATAGAATTCTTTTTATTTAAGAAAACGAGAAAAAGGATCGTTTGATCGATCGATGCCGCTGTGGAAAGCAAGTTTAATTAAAGGAATGGTGCGCCGATATTGAACTTCTTTCTGAAGTTGTCAGATGGATTTAGCCTTCCAAGAACTTGGCAATTATTGAATTCAGTAATATCCGGGAGTATCAATCCATCTCAGAGATTCAACGTCTTCCTAATTCCGGGCTTCAAGAACCGCTGTTACTTGGCCAATTTTTTTCGTTGAAATTTCAGCGATATCTCACTTATCAAATATTGGAAGAAAAAAAAAAAATTTATCAGTTGTTCGAGTTTTTTTTCTCTTGACTTCAATCCTACGACATTGTTTTATTCTCACAATCAGACGTGTACGATCTGTTATTATTGCTTTTTGTTTGTGTATTTCGATAAATTAGAAAAATGAAGCAGACCTAATGTAAGACAATTAATGTTTAAGTTAAGAAGGATCACTGATCGAAAAGATATAATTCAAAAATCGTGTTTTTTCGCGTTCACGATGCATACAAACACGTTGACTCGTTGATGACAAAATTTATATTAGATGCACAGTGTGTTTTGTCTACGTGAATATTAATTTAAATGTATTGAAATAGGTTTTAATTTGTTATATTAAAAATGTATATATAAAATAGTATATAAAAAATGTATATATAAAATGTATATAAAAAATGTATATATTAAAATAATATAAAATATATAGTACAATATAATACATTAAAATAATGTAAAATATATAATGTAATGTAATTGAAATATAATCTGATTTGTTATGATTTTAATTATAATAAATCATTACGACTAATATTTAATTGTAATAAATCATTATAATTAATATTTAATGGTAATAAATCATTACAATTAATATTTAATGGTAATAAATCATTATAACTAATATTTAATTGTAATAAACCATAATTAATATTTAATTGTAATAAATCATTATAATTAATATTTAATTGTAATAAATCATTATAATGCAATAATACAAGATAAATAATACGATGACATAAAATATTAAATCGTTCTCTTTATGCCAGAGGCATGAATGACCAATTGTAGAAACTCATTAATAGTAACAACAGAGCATATTGAATGAATCAAATAAATACTGTGATATTATTGTCACGCGATGCACACGTGCACATATATTTGTATAAATTAGTGAATAAAAAATTGTAACTAAAAAGAAGGCAAGTAAGAATTTGCACGTTCGTGTCTCTGACGCAAAGGAAATAATATTATCATAAAAATAAATTGGATGTCAATCTCGTGGATCAGCTAGTATAAATACGCAGCAGATTATAATGAACTGCCCTAGATTCTCATCGTCAAAGAAATAATAGCAATATCAAAGCCGACGTGAGAACGACTCGAACAATATCCAGACATTTTTAAACAGATTAACCTACTCAATTCCTTACGACTACGTAAGGATTATTTACTCTTGTAAACGTGAAATAATTAATCATGTACCTTTCGGTGGTCACCGAATATGTTTCAACTCGAACAAAGTTCTAAGGAACTAAGGAAGGAAGTGACTTGTGCACTTAGAATACAAAGAGTATTCAAATATTTGGTAAATAAAATAATTTTCTATCGATTATATCCTGGAAAATATAAATTTGCATAAAAATTCCGCAGTCCAGGGTGTAACGTGAATATTTATTTAAATATATTGAAATAGTTTTTAATTCGTTACATTAAAAGAATGTATAAAATATATAAAATAATATAAATATATTAAAATAATATAAACTATACAGTACAATATATAATACATTAAAATAGTATAAAATATACAGTACAATATATAATGCATTAAAATAGTATAAAATATATACTACAATATAATGCACTAGAATAGTATAAAATATATACTACAATATAATGCATTAAAATAATATAAAATATAATACATTATAGTACAATATAATACAGTGAAATAATATAAAATATACAGTACAATATAATACATTGAAATAATATAAAATATACAGTACAATATAATACATTGAAATAATATAAAATATATAGTACAATATAATGCATTAAAATAATATAAAATGTATACTACAATATAATGCACTAGAATAGTATAAAATATATACTACAATATAATGCATTAAAATAATATAAAATATAATACATTATAGTACAATATAATACAGTGAAATAATATAAAATATACAGTACAATATAATACATTAAAATAATATAAAATATATAGTACAATATAATGCATTAAAATAATATAAAATGTATACTACAATATAATGCATTAAAATAGTATAAAATATATAGTACAATATAATGCATTGAAATAATATAAAATATATTATACAATATAATACATTAATATAATATAAAATATATAACATAATTGAAATATAATATGATTTATTGTGATTTCAATTATAATGAAATAATTCCATCACCTACGTTATTTAAAATTATATCTCAATGACACTCGTCTTGCTTCGATCATTCTGAAACACTTATAAAAATAGAAACACCAATCATCGTTCCAATTCTCTTAGTTAAAAGCCGTATACTAATGCTATGATCACCTTCCTGTTGCGAGTGACAAAAAGTGAATCATATGTGATCAGCGATTAATCTTTCCCCCTCCCCCCCTTTTTTTTTAAATTTTAACATTCGCTCGATAAAACCAACTGTGATCTCCAACCGTATCTGACAAATCGGTACTTTTTTGCTCTGTTGCAGGAACGATCGAGAAGAACGGTGCTCCGTGAGGTGAAGAACGGACGGAAGGTGGTTCCGGAAGATATCCGCGAGCTTTCGTGAGAACAACCAGTGAGAGAGTAAACTACAGATCCGACCTTGACGTGTGTAACCACCAGCCACGATCACACACACACACAATCATCGAAACAGCTGTCTGACTCTCAATTCAGAGAGATTTATTCGAGTTTCACGACTGATCTCTCGGCACCGTTCGTGACCTCGATAGAGCTCATCCACCTGGTTGTGGATAACTTGATCTTTCTCTCTTTCTCTCTCTCTTTTTCTCGGGCAAACGCCGCAGGATCTACTTGAAAGGTCGAGGCCATCTCTCTCAGGTTCACCTGCGACAAGAGTCGCACGATGTAGCGGCTCTTTCATTTCGTCACCCTTCTCGTCGAATCGATAGGACTCCGCGTGTTATGTGCGTCCTCTGCTAAGAGACAGAGAGAGAGACAAAACCGTCTGCGGAGAGAGAGAGATTTTCGTGTCAGGGGAGGAGGGCTCGCCACACCATGAAAACGATGGGCGACGTGGTGGCAGATCCTGCGGACGAGCAGGACGTCGGGACGTCTACCTCCTCGACGCAGAACCCCACCGTCGGCAAGGAATTCGGCCAGAAGACCCTCCGATCGTTGAAGAGGGGGCTGGGTAGATTGTGGAGGAGACATCGCGGCAACGCCTCGATCACCGAGTACGATCCGTGCTACAAAGTCGCCTATCTTGGCAACGTTCTCACCGGATGGGCCAAGGGTAAGTGAATTCTTTCTCTCTACGGTGTTTAGGTTAACAAGGCTTTCGCGTTGCATCGAAGTTCCCCGTGACCTTCCAGCCAGTAGAATACAATAGTTTACGAAAAAAAAAAAAAAAAAAGGAAAAATGGCGCGCGTTAGGTCAAGGGCACAGAGTTGGGCAAGTGATCTAAGTTATAGCAATCGTGGTAATCGTAATTATTAATCAGTCGAACGTGAACGTTGTTGAAAACGAATCGGTAATCTTGTTGATCGAGTTTTCAATTTCGGAATGACTGATTTGTATTTTATTAACGATCTGTAACGTTGCTACAAATCGTTTGCAGTTTTCAATAGTATAGCTACAATATTTACGCGTATTTTTTTTTTTTTTCTTTCTTCTCATTGAATTATTTGCAAACGTTCGCGAAGAATTTCTTCGTT